ATTTGACATGGCAACTTTTTATATTGATGAAAGAGGGAATCAGAGAATCTCAGCGTAAAGATAATGTTAAAATTAATAAATTATATATTTAATTTATTTAATTTGAATACATTTCTAAAATTTATTTAATTTATTTAATTTGATTTAATTTATACATTAGCAAATGCATAGTCTAAGAAAAAAATATAATTCCTGCAAAATGAAAATATGCAAACTCTAGTAAAAAGACTACAAAGGTTATTACAATTCATTCTGATTCTGATTCTGAGAATGATTGTAATGAAAATACTGAAAATAATAAAGAAAACATTCAAAATAATCTAAATTTCAAAGAACTTGAATATAGAGAAAAAGACCTTGTTATAAAGGAATGGAAAATTGCTTTAAGGGAATAGGAAGCTAAAGTTTGTTTAATGGAATTAGCAAATCTTAAAAAGAAGCATGATTTAGCTAAAAAATAATAATATTCATATATTACTATAAATTCTAAATAATTTAATAAATACAAAGTATAATTTGTAATATTGTCCTAAATTTTCAATTTTTTTACCATTTAAAAAAATTTAAAGAGATTTAAAATTAAAAAAAATTAACAGTTAAGAATAATAAAAAAAATAATTAAAATAAAAAAAAAATTTGTGTATTGAATAAATTTTAAAAAATTAGTTATTGCAAAATAATTAAATTATACAATACTTCTTTACTGAGTATAATAAAATAACAATATATCTTTCAAATGTTAATAATATACATACTATCACTCCTAACCCAACTATTATACAATATATCACATGACCCTCAGAATCATCATCCAACTCTTCATTATAACTAAATGTTCTTACAAATTTCTTGTGGGACATCTATAAATTAAAAGGGATGGTTAGCTTTTGCTAAGTACTCTACTTAATAATTTCATCCCACCATCTGGTAGTGACGTGAGGCAGTATCCTTCTAAAGTATCAAGTTTCATAACGAAGCAGTTCGGATCTTCTTCCTATATATTAGTGTCGATATTTTCACCGTCCGTTCCTGAAAACTGCACAATAAAAGGTATAGCTACAAGTATCTGTTTGAAAGAACTTACAAAAACACAGCTTTAGGTTATTGTGTCCTTTCGCTGACATCTCTCCTGGACACACAAAGATTTGTTATCATCCAGAAATTCTGAAAACAGAGAAGGACGTTCACAGTAAAACTGTGGCCACGAAGTGCTTCCAGTTCTCTGAATCCAAAAGTCCTCAATGAGAACAAATCAATTGCATGAGTCAAAGTTGAGGAAGGTGCATAACTATTCCTCATTGTGGAACAGTAGACCTCAACACTGAGAAGACCTTATTCGTATCTCAGCCAGGTCCATCAGTTAACAGAGTTATCATAGATAGACCTGCCAGCTCACAAGGTTGCCATAACTTCCTTGATCATTGCATCCACTTGTTCACCTTCACCAGAAATGAGGGCAGGCAAAGCCCACTCTCTTAGCAGTTCAAACATACCTTTATGTGTCTAAAAGTCTAAAAGAGGTAAAGGAAAAGCTAATGGAACTGGTCCGCTGACTCCATCACAAAGTTCGAGGCAGAAGTTATTGGAAAAGGCCAGAGAAAAGAAAGGTCCGGAAGAGGGACGATGATTAGAAATAATGTGACGTTGCACCCAGTCATTCGAAGTCACATGATTTTGCGTAAAAAATTTTTTCTGATAAAAAATTGTTTTTCAGGTGCAACGAGTGCTACGAATGCTAAGGGTTTGTTGAATGGGTTCTTGGGATACTGGGCTGGACGACTCCTCCCAAACCAATGATGTTTAACCTTCCTAAAAATCATTAAAGTCTTTTTTAATATATTTGATCTTTTTAATAAAAATAATATAATATCAAGAAAATTGATGATAATATTTTTCACGAAATTATACCTTCTTTATTATACTAACAAGTGTACCAAAATAACAATAGAAAGTCTTGATTAATTTGACCAAATTTTTTTTATCGTATCATCACACCTTGGTACGTTTATTAGAGACTTTGCTGTAGGTCACGTAACTTTTAAGTTCGTGCCTCTAGGTATTTCTAAAATTAAAAATATATATATATATTTCCTTAGACAAACGGTGAAAAGGAAAGTTATAAAAATCGACTATGGGCTAGAGGAAGGGGAAGAGACAACAAAATAAAGCCGTGAACCTACAAAAGAGAAAGCCAAAACGTAGGTATCGGGAGAGGCGGGAGAGCCGTGGTCCTAGATAACAATAGTGGAAAAAGGTGAGAGAGAGAAGAGAAAGAAAGTGAGGATAGAGGGTTTTTATATTTACATCATAAAAATTTTTCCATAAAAGATGACTCATAATTATATTCGATTGTTACGCGTCGCGTATAATTATAATAGGAAATTTTATAATAGGAAAATTTTTAATAGGAAATTGTAACTGATCAAACTGATCAAAATCACAATTTGAGGTTCCGATTTCCGCAGTTTTAGATATAACTGATAACAATTAATATTTGGTATACATTGTACTCACTTTCTGTAGATCATTGCTCTTTTCCTCTTATAAACGGAAACAATATAGAAAAATATATTATTTTCAGAGGTCTATGAAAGGAGAGATGGGATTTTATTTTTTCATTATATCGATTGGTAGTTTGGACTAATGACGTAAAAGTAAGTTGAATTTTTCGTTTAATTTTTTATTTTATTTGCACGAGGAGGATAAAAGGACCTGGATATCACCTTTTTATATAATTCGTAGGATCAATTTTGGAATACGCTTTTTGGGGAAATAGAAAGAAAAAGGCTGAATAATACTCCTCCGGTCTGGCTTCAAAGACAATTGGACAACAAGGCAAGCTAATACTAACAGGGTAATAAAAATCTTCCGTTTATTCCGTTTTTTTTTTAAAAAAAAAATAATAATTTTTAGAATAAGAATTTTTTTAAAAAAAAGATTAAAAATAACACTTTTTTTTCATCCAGAAACTTTGGTTCTATTCGGAAAAATAAGCCTGTTTCATCCGCATTAAAAATAACTTCCCTATGAAAGGACAGGAGTAAAGGGTAACGTTTCATATTGTCATTGTTATAATTCATTGTTATTGATTATTGGTAATTAATGGATCTTATTAGTAGTCTTCTATTTTTCGATTTATTCGATCGTTTATCCTAAAATAAAAAAAGACTGGTTAAATTTATCATTGAAGGAGTATAAAATCAAACATTTTTGTTCCTTTTACTAAAAATAAATCATGTTTTATTATAATTATAAAATTAGTGATAATTTATTATTTAGCTTTATCTGGTTAAAGGGTGGGTTTACCAGCAAGATACTGTTTCTGAAATAATATATCTGAATATGGTGCTTTCCTTTTGCAAAGACGCAACCTCGGAAATAAGTAACTAATGGATAATAAATAAAACTTGAGTTATATTAATTTCTTCTTTATACCAGTATAAGAAATTCGTAATTGTCCGGAGCGTCTATTTATTGTACGGAACTAAATAAATTTGTAGTACTCGGTTTAACCCATGTATTTTTCCTTCTTTCCACCTACGTCACTATAAATTAGCCTCCCGCTTATTTCCTTTTATGTTTTGTATCACATTTTTTGTGACGCTTTATTTTTTTGTAACATTTATAATTATAAGCGACGGACCCTCAACGGTTTCCGCTTTCCTAGTTTATAAAACATAGAACAGAATAATTGCTTCGTTTTTAGATTGTCTTATCGTCCATTTTGTCCACCAAATACTTTGTGTAAGAATTATGCAAAAAAAATTACAAATTATTTTCCCAAAGATATAAAATGTATAACCAATCAAAATTTAGACGCCACAAATCACGTGAAAGATATTTTTTTTTTAAAAAAAAATTTATTAAAGTACTTTGAATTTCAAATCTTCTAACAATTACGGTTTAAATAATATTAAATTAAAGTGATATCGAATGATTTTCATACTTTCAAACTACTGTATAATAATAATTTATTAATTTAAAGAATGATCGACCAGTTTCAGCTGCAATTACAAATATCAAAAACTCCTTGATTTCATAATCCATATAATTTTTATAAATTATCGATTTTAATTGTTTTACAGATTAATTTCATCAATTTGTAATCATAATTATGTAAGCACTATATATTAAAATGTATCGGATTAATAACTATTCAAATTACGATATTTTTCAATTACTTTTATTTTTTTTTGTCGTAAAATAAACTGATATTAAATAATGAATTAACATGGTAACACATGATTCATTATGGAATAGAATAGATTACACAATTTTGGTACGTGAATACTTGGGTTTACTTTAATTTTCTTGGATTTTCTTGGATTTTCTTATTATTTACGTCATTTAAACGGTAAAACGCGTTTTCAAAAAATTGTGTAATGTGATTAATGTGAATGTAAGAACATTGTAATACTTAAAATGTTCTACCAATCAAATTAAAAATTGGCGTAAAATTTAATTGTTTTAATTAATCACAGCCTAAATTGAATTCATCACAAAAATGTAAGCGCCAAGAATATGCCATGAATACTTAAATTGTGATCATCATTTTTCACGTGAACGTTTAATTACCAAATTTCGTAAGAATCGAAAAAAAAAATATGTCATTTTTTTTTGTCTGTACCAAAATATCGATGATTTGAATTCATATTCGTAACCATTTATTTATTTAGGGTCGGAGTATTTTAAAAAGTTTTAATTTTTAAAAATTATCGGTTTTTTTTTTATTAACCTATCGGTTATTGCAATTTCATAATAATGATTGGATCGACAAATTTCCCTTAAATAACTAAAAATTACATGTTTTTAAAACCGGAAATAACTGCATGAATAATTTCCGCACGACGATACCATACTAAATCCAAATTAATAATAATTATTATTATTTCATCATTATCTTATCTCTTTCTCATTCATTTTATTTTCCTTTTAAAAGAATAAATGAATTTTTTTTTAAATATATAAATATAATGTGTCTCCAAAAAAATTTTTTTTTCAAAGTCATAAAAAAAATCATAATAATCCCATAAACTGATAATAATTTATTATTAAGATTATTTATTAATATTATTCTATAACAATCTTTGTTTTAAAAAAATAAAGTTTATACATTAATCTCTTTTAAATATCCAATAAATATTTATGCATATCTTTCGTTAAAATAATCATAATAATCATAATAATCATAATAATCATAATAATATTATTTTAATCAAACGAGAAAGCAAAATGATGATGATCTTATAATTACAACATTACTACTACATTTATACATTTACTTACTTTACCTGCACCTGATGACGATATGATGAAGTATTACATCAATTCAGTCAATTCAGAAAAAAATAATATAAATAATAAGAACTCAACCCTTCCCTATATTTCTTTTCTCGCTTTTTCGAAAGGTGATATTAAAAATAGTTTCTCTTACCGTAAAAAGAAACAAAAATCTGGACTTTTACAAATAATACAAATAATGGGTACTAATGATAATACCAATAATAATACTACGGATAATAATAAAAATGTAACTTTGGATCAATCTTTGAATGGTTACACTTCGGGTTTAATTTCTTGGGATACTCCACCATCTAAAATTAATAAAGATAATTCTATAATAGAAAAACGAATATTAACAATGAATCGTTTAAAGAAAAATAGACTTTCATGTATGAATTTTATAAAAGATGATGGAACGGTTATAACTGGTTACGCTATGGCTCATCCAAAACGAAATAAAGATTTTCATGGTTATTTTAAAGAAATCCCTAAAAATGAACATTTAGTAAATAATTTTAGTTGTGCTTTACAAAAAGAGAAGATTTTATCTCATGGAATGATGTTTGTTTCTTTATATAATATTTGTTTTCATTCTAATATCCTTGGTTGGGTTACCAATGTGAGTGGTTTTAATTTTATTTTATTTATTTCTTTATTATTTTTTTTTTTACTGTAATTTTGTGGGAATATCTTTATTTTTTAGATTGTGATCCCGTTCTCGGAAATAAAAGAAATTGAAAAAAAGATGACCGCATATGTAATCCCAAATGCCATTCAAATAACGACTAAAGATTCAAAGGTAAATAACGAAACGAATTTCTTTACCTCGACGTTCTTATATTATCTCACGTGACTTGATTCTTTCTTTTTTTAGTATTTCTTTGCATCGTTTCTCTCACGTGACACCGTATATGAACTTTTAATGAAAATAAAAAATTACTCAAATTCAACTAATGAATGTTGTGATTCTGATCCTGATCCTGTTAACGGTAATGGTAATAGTAATAGTACTTGTACTGAAACAGACAAAAAATGTAAGATCATGATTATGATTCACTATCACTATCAGAGACTATTAAACTAATTATTCTTTTATCCTATACAAATTAGATGTTAAACGGGAGACAATTTGTGATTGTTTAAAAAATAATCAACATTATGATCGTGTAATAATTGATACTAAATTTAAAGGAACTATTGAAAAAATTTATAACTTGTTGTATACGAATGGATTTATCCCTGAGTTTTTAAAAGAGAATAATGAAAGTACGTATTTAAAGGTTACGTTCTAAAAGAAAGAAAAATTCGCAAGAATTTTTCTTCCTTTTATACAATGATTGTTAACAGGTACAAGGTTAGATTTTAACCAATTTATTTTATTTAGGCATAAATATGGGTGAATGGACTAAAGATGATGAAGGGAAATTAGTCAGACAGTCTACTTATATAAAACGGTTAAACAAAACTCCTGGTAAGTATATAATCTTTTAATTTTATTTTATGATTTTCAAAACAAATAATCTTAATATATCTACTACCCATTCGTATAGGTATAAAAGCTGCAAAATGTTATTCAAAAGATGAAATTTTGCATCAAGATTTTGACAAGTAAATATCTCAAAAATCTATTATTTTTTTTTTTTAAAAAAAAAAAATTTTTTGGATTGTTGGATTTTAATTTTTTTATTTAATTTAATAGTTATGTGACGGTAGTGACATCTACAAGTACACCTGATGTACCTTCTGGTGGTACATTCGTAATAAAAACAAGGACGTGTATAATGTGGGCTGATTTAAATATAACCAGAGTTATAGTAACTTTTAATGTTGAATTTACAGCAAATTCATTACTTAAATGTAAGTAAATTCTTATAACTACTTGATTAAAAATATTTAAATATTTAAATAATCATTTTCTTTTTGTTTAGCTGTGATTGAGAAAAAATCTTTAGAAGGACAAGTAGAATTTTATAAAGAATTAGAAACAGCTATACGCAAATACATTTCACAAAATCTTGCAGAATTTGATTCTGAAACGGCATCATTACTTGAAACTGAAGAAGACGAAGAAAGTAAAGAGGATAAAGGTCAAGAAATGAAAGAGAAAGAAGAAAAAACAAGAAGATTAAAAGAAGATAAAAATACAAAGATATTTAAAATGTCAAGTATTGAAATTCTTGTAATAATAGTACTTATATTAACGTTAATATTTAATGTATATGTTTTGACCAGTATAAGAAGTGTTAATGAATTCATTGAAGGTCAATCAGGTAATAAAGGAGTTCAAATTAAATTTGATAAAGATTATCCTTTAAATAAATTGTTGGATGAGTTAAAAAGACGACGAATATTTTCTATTTCAGACGATAACTTTATGGATGAAAGAATCGGGGGAAATTTATAAATTTATTTCATGTAAATAAATTTACAGTATAATTGTATATAATCGCATTTTATTCTAAATAAAACCAGTGATTTTCATATTGTATTTTTGAAGTTCATATATATAAAAATGACAGATTATTTTCTTTCTAAACTCTGACGTTCGTAACTCAGCCGTTCGTAACTTTAACGGTCATATTACTTTGACTGTCATATAATTAATTAATTATAAACGTAATATATATATAATAAATGTAATATATAGATAAACGTAATATATCAGATATAGTTAAACGTAATATATAATAAATGTAAAATATAATAGTTAAACGTAATATATAATAATTGTAATATATAATAGTTAAACGTAATATATAATAATTGTAATATATAATAGTTAAACGTAATATATTATATATGTTGCAAAATTTTAAACATAACTGATAAACGTTGATCGTAATGCATGTACAGTATATGTAGTATATGTAAACATAATAAACGTAATATACGCTAAAAGGCAAAAAAATTATCTTTTTGATCCTGTACGACATCCTTTTTTGACCCTCCTATATGTAATACAGTATATACGGGCCAAAAAAATAACACGAGGAGGGTTCAAAAAAGTAATTTTTGCCGCTAAAAGAGCCTAATAAACGTAATATATACATAATAAACGTAATATATGTTAAAAATAATACTGTATATACACATTATCTTATGATGCAATACAATTAATATTTTAATAAGATATACTTACCCAAGTGATTGATTTTCATTTGAAAATAAATTAATTCGTAAATCAACCTGCAAAAACTTCATATATAATTTCAATACGTTCCACCAATATAAAGTACATAAAATAAATAATTGATAATAAGATTTCTGTAAAAAAATATTACATATATATATATATTTTTTTGAATTAAAGCCTTCGGGAATCTTAAAATGGTTGGATATATCAAGAACTTTGTATTGTTTTATTCCGGTAATTTTTATTATATATATATATTATTATATAACAATATATTGTAAAATTTTAAAATTTTTATATTAACTCCTTATGAAATTTATATATATATACATATATATAATATATATTATTATATAATAATATATTATAAAATTTTGCATTAACTCCTCATGAAAATTCCGAATTCTAACAAAGAATTAAACGAACGTGATGAACGTGATGATCGATCGGCTAATAAAATCATTTTTGGTTTCTTTCAATAATATTAACTTCAATTTGAACGATCCGGATGTATAATAATTATTAAGCAAACAAATATTGATAGAAAATCAAGAATATCAAATAAATCATTGTTTCGTATTTAAAACGTTTACTAATCGATATCGATATAAAAGATTATAATATATAAGTAGTGTAAGTAGCATAAGAGTAGAATAAAGTAACATAAAGTATATGTAATAAGTAGCAAAAGTAGTTCTTTTTTTCGGATATTATTTATATAGAAAAATATTACATGTATAAAATAATTGTGTTTAGTTTTTACCAACTGCCGGAAGTAAATCAAATATTAATAAAAATGCGATTAATATGGTATTCATAATCCGATTTATCACATGATTATAATTTGATTGATATGATTGGATAATAAATATAATAAATCTAATAATATTTAAAATCCTATAAAAATGACGGGGGATTATTAATTATTACTGTATTCAATTTCTTGTAAAAAAAAAAAAAAATGTTTCCTTCAAAACTTTCTAATTTACCCCTTGAATGTTTACAAAGAATATTTCATGAATTTGAAGAAAATTCATTATATTCTTGTTGTCTTGTAAATCGTACATGGTGTCAAATAGCAATTCCTCTTTTATGGCGTTCTCCTTTTCATTTTATTCGTAAAGATGATTCAGAATCTTTTATTGCATCAATTATACCTAATATACCTTATAATTCTCCTGCACCTTCTAATTCATCATTATCATTTAATTCATCAAAAGTTTTAATTCAAACATATTTAAGATGTCTACCAAATTCAATTAAAAATTTATTAATTGAAAATGGATTAAATATTCCTAAATCTATAATAAATACAAAATCACCACTTTTTCGTTATGAAACTTATATTAAATCAATTAGTTATTCAAAAATTTATAATATAATAACTGAATGGTTTGAAGTTGAAATTGATGATTTAAAAGATATTAATGAAAGGGAAGGTTTAGAATATTTAGTTACAGAAAAATTGATTCGTTTATTTATTTCATCATCAAATTCAATATTAAACCTTTCATTAACTGATGATGATGAAATTCCTTCTTTACCTCCTATATCATTATTTCCAAATTCCGAAAATTCTTTACGTAATCTTGTAAAATTAACTTGTATAGGAAATTATCAATATAATATGAAAGATTTACTTATTTCTTTAATAGAAATTTCTAGAAATATTAAAGAAATTATAATTGGTGGACTTTCAACTTCAGTAGAAATTAAATTATTTGGTAAATTAATTAAATCTCAAAAATCTTTAAAATCAATTGAAATACTTGGAAATGGTCCTATAAATTTACAAATGATCACTTTTGATATATTAAATCCTTTATATACACAAAAAAATACTTTGGAAAATATTAAATTTTTAAATTGTGATTTTGAGGAATGTACTTATTTATATCCTATAATCTTTTTACCTATGTTAAAAAGTATAGAATTTGAAAAATGTAGAAATTTGGTTTTACAAGATTTAAATTCTATTAATAATTTGAAAAATTTTATACCAAAATTACAAATTTTTAAATCTCGTGAATGTTATATTCCTCCTTTAACAATTGAAACTGTTATACGTAATTCTTATCAAAGTTTAAGTGTAATTGAATTAAGTCGTAAATTATCTAAAGATGAATCAAAAATTTTATTATATAATATTTCCCCTTATTGTAAAGGTTTAAAAGTTTTAGATATAAAAATTTTTCAAGATGATATTGAAGGTTTTTTAAATTTATTAAAATATTGTGAAAATTTAAAAGAATTAACAATATTTGGTGATAATATTTATGCTGAAGATTTATTACCTTTAATTTCAAAAAATTTATCTACAAATAATTTAAAAAAATTATGTTTTATAGGTAATTGGATTTTTTCTAATAATAATAATTTTATTAGTTTAATTAATTTTCTTCAAAATTTTAAATTTAATTTACCAAAAATTTTAACTTTTCAATCAAATAATTTTATTAATAATAATCATTTAAATAGTATTATTAATTGGATTATTATTAATGAATTTGAAATTAATAATTTTGAAAAATTGGAACTTATTTATTGTGAAAAATGTGAAAAATTAAAATTATCTCAAGATTTATTATTACAACAAAGAACGAAAAATTTTGTTATTGAAATTTTGTAGTTTTAGTATAGGTAATAATATATATATATATATATATTTATATTTTTTATTTATTTATTTAATTTATTATTTATTATTTATTATTTATTATTATTTATTATTATTATTTTCTTCTTATCTTAATTTAATTTAATTGTAATATAATTGTAATAATCCGTATATATTTTATCACTTAATTTTGGTCGTTAATTTTGGCCGTAAATAAATTAGTAAATAAAAGTAAAATTATTAGCAAATACAAGTCATCATAGGATTGACATTGACACTGACAATTTTAGTTTCAAAGGATCAACGCTTATCGAAATCCGTTGCTTTAGGTCCAAAGATCCAACACGTGAATACTTTCCTCCACAGTAAATCTGTAAATGATTTTTTTATCGACGCGATCGTTTCCAGTATAGTTTCACGTTCAATGCTGATCTTTAACTCTGGTCAAACCTGTCGGGAAATTGTCCTATCGGGAAACGGTCCATAAGCGATATTATTGGGTAGGGGAGTTGAAATATCACCGAACTGCGAAGCAGTTCGGATGATATTTTAACCCCCCTACCTAATAACTGTGTTATTATGCAGACGTCCAAGATCATGTTCCATGTCTAAAACATCACTAACATCACTCCCACTGTTAAATAATAAGTTTTATCAAAATAATATTTGCATTTTTTACATTCCGATTGATTTGTAATTCCAAAAATAATATTTGTTGTTAAACAAATATCTACATCCAATAAAAAATACGAAACAATTCTCACAATACTTTTTAACTGCAAAACATTAACAACGAGATCTAGTTTCCCACCATGGTAAATCTTGTCCATTTGTGAATAGATATACGTATTATTATCAGTATCTTTGATCATAAAAAGCCACTTGTGTGTATTGAATACAATTTTTATCTGTCCAATTAAATGGAACAAAAAAATCGTGTACGGGACTAGATTTTAATTTTGGTAACATATTTATAATTTTATATACTTACTCTGTATCCGACCTACTCGGTATCCGGACTTTTCGCCGAAGTCCATTTCACCGAAACCCATTTCGCCGTAGCCATTTCACTGAAGGGATATTTCGCCGAAAGGACGTTTCGCCGAAATACCATTTCACCGAAACCTCATTTCTCCGAATTCCATTTCGCCGAAAAATTATTTATTCTATTTGGTTATTTTATTGTTTTTATACTAAATATATAGAGAAATGTTTTCTAAAAAAATTTTTAGCTGATTTTTATCGTTGTTTATAATATATTAATAGTCTTTTTTTTACTTACTTTTTCGTGAAAAATGTTTTCAGGAAAATAAAGTTATTTATTTATTTCTTAACAATTAATATCAGTTACTTGAATGTTAAAGTGATGATATCCCGGAAAAAAAAATCCAAAAATAATTTTTTATATTCATTGCGCGATGAATATTTTTTAATAAAATGTTAACTGCTACTATTTTCGGCAAAATATCCATTGGCGAAATGGACGATTCGGCGAAATGTATTCGATAAAATGCACTTTCGGCGAAACGTTCCTTCGGTGAAATATCCCTTCGGTGAAATGACTTCGAAATGTACCGTAACCTACTTATTCCATGTTATTAAAACCGTAAATTCCCTATAAAAAAATTAGATACGTTTTTGATAAGGTTTTTATACAATTTTTTTTCCTTAGGTACATCTGAGCGGATCTATATCACTTGGTGTAAGAGTATAAATTAATAAAACTTTGCTTTTTAATAAAAATTTTCTCTTTATTTACATAATCACTTCATAATAAGGTAGAATCAAAGTTTTATCAATCTTATATAAACCTGAATTATAAAATATTCGTATTTTCCTAATAATAGTTATTACATCTGATATTTCTCAATGTTCTTTGATTTATGAAATATATTTAATAATTAAGATTTATTGTTATAAAAGAAAATCACGCGTAATCGTGTAATTGAATCGGAATCCGGGGTTTTTGCCGTATGAAATATTCATAAATCTCTTACACAGTGTTCGATGGTCAACGAAACAATTATTCTGTTTATGTTTTGTCATATTTTTTAATAAATTACGGATTTCTTAAACTGAATTAATCTGATATAAATATAACTTACTGCAAAGTCATTTCTCGATGTTTATCAACGTATCGGTCATAATAATGTCCTTTTCAAAAGCACTATACAATAAGCATCACTTTTGGATATTACAAATATGTATATATTATTTCAGCAACAGTATCTCGCTGGTAAATTCTAGCTACAAGCCCTTTAACCATGAACAGAGATAAAGCTGAATAATAAAATAATTATTTTACTTTATTACTATTTTATATAATACGCAAATATAATAAAACATGATTTATTTTTTTTAAGTAAAAAGAGTGAGGTTGCTTGAACGATCTCTTTTTATACTCCTTCAACGATAAATTTAATCAGTCTTTGTCTACCTTTTCTTCATCTCTACTCTTCCCCTCTCTTTACTCTTCCCTGTCCTTTTCATGGAGAAGATATTTATAACGCGGATGAAACAGGTTTATTTTTCCAAATGGAGTCATTGTACTGTAGGGACAAAAACAAGTAAGTTATTTTTTAAAAGAATTCTTATTCTAAAAAATTTTTTAAAAAAGGATTTTTCGTTAATTGTTTTGAAAAACATGAAAAACACTAAAAAATTTTTTAAACCTTTTTAAAAACATTCATTAATCCTTTTTAAAAAATGATTTTTTAACCTTTATTGATCTAAAAATATTCGTTACTGCAAATTCTTGTAAAAAACATTCATATAAACGTTCGATAATATTTTTTAAAAAACATTTTATTAAATCTTTAATAAAAAATAAAAATTTATCATTATTTTTTAATTTAGAAACAAAACCGTCTCTCAATCCTTTGTAATTTGTCGTGTTTACGCGATCGTTGAGCTTCCAGTTAGGGATGACACGTAATTTAAAACAAGATGTTTTAAAACAATTTAAATCAGTTTTTTATTGTTTTAAACCGTTTTTTTTTTTTTGTTTTAAAACATTGATCGGATTATTGCGTACTTGACCTTTTTGTATTTTTAAGCAACCTTTTTTTAAAATTATTCTCGTAGAAGACTATCATCAGAAGACGTCCGTAAGCCCCTTTTTGAGTTTGCAATAAAAATTTAAGCACTTTATTATATAATATATTTTTAGAGTATAGTCGGACTGACCTTGTTGGGAATTTATTTTGTAATAGCTTAGTGATACTACTATTCGTTAAATTATTACATAGTAAAGGCTAGTAAAGTGCTTAATGTTTTAAAACACGTTTAAAACGTGTTTTAAAACGACAAAATTGTTTTAAAACATGTTTTTTGTCATCTCTACTTCCAGTATCATTTCACGTTCAATGCTGATCCATGTGCAATATTCAATAAACGTTACACTGAATTTGCAGATCCAGTAGTTTTTTATTTATACTATTCAGATACCATTTTTAATAACGAAAGAACCGAAAGAACAAGCAAATGTGAGTTTCCTTCCTTTTTTTTTATAAAAAAAAATTTTCCAAAAATAAAAAAAATCTTCTTCAACTTACATATTATAAATTAATTATACAAATAGTTTATAATTTTGCCAATTCCTGAACGAAGTATGCCTCGTTGTCTTATATAGATATAAGCATTTGCGTTAGTTATTTCATCTGCGCATTCTAAAGTGAAAATAATATAAATTTTTTGCAATTTTAGTTCAATTTTCTTTTTTTACAATTTTTTCATAAACCATATAATAACATGCTAGCAATGAAAAATTCAATACATATGCTCTATGCATTAATATTATATAAAATTTAAAGTTAATAGCTACTTTTGTCCAGGTAGTGTATTTTAGAATAAAATAAATTTGATAAAGTATCAAGAAATTATTGATGAAAAAAAAAATTTTTTTCATTATTGTTGGTTTAAAATATCAAGGGCATTAAAGAGTTTAACCGAATAACTAATAAATGTTGCTTAAAACAAGTATATAATAATAAATAATAGTTGCCTTATTCGAATGCCAGGGGTGATTATAGACATGGAGGAACCGTTTGTTATCGGGTAATCTTTCTCGATTTTCGTCCTCTGTGTCTGATTGCTTGACGGAATGGCAGCCGTTATCTTGAAGAATAGATAAAGGTTTACAGTTTTTTAAAGCATCTCATTTCATCAGGAAACACTTTGCCGAAACGCCGAAGTTGCAATAATATGTGATCGCGTTGGCGATTCTTGTCCAGATGTTGCTATGATCACGTATGCTGTGATCCTCGAAATAGTTATGATATATTCATCAAATCTTTCTTTGGTGTGTGCTCTAGTTTCAAGTTTATTCCCGTGGAATTCCTTATTACTTCTAATTTTCATTAATATCAACAATTCAAAGTCTTCGAGTGACATATCAATACTTCCTAAAACATCTCTCAACTGTGAAATACATTCTTTCTTCTCTAACTTTCATGTAAACAGCATATTATACATAAGACCATACAATTGCCTTTTTCACCGCTTTTTTGTAATACAAAATCCAGTCTTTGATATCCATTTAGTGCATTACTATTTTCCAGAGGACCCCTCACAAAGTTACATGGGTCTATGGCAGTGTTTGGTTTTAGACAGATTCTTAGGATTTGATAAAGTTTTGGTTGATTTATTCCACGAATTTTCTTGAAAAATATAATCACTTCTGACCTTATCACAACATTCATTTTGAATACCCCAGGAAGTAGTTTTTCTGTTATTGCTGTTATTCCAACCGCTATCTTTATCATAATCTTTAATGTTGGTACTGGTTCCATTATGATATTCCGATGTAGATGACAGCCAATTTTTGGACAAACTTCCCAACACTGTGACAGTCTATGGTCCATTTCTTTGACTGTTTTATTATCAACTTTTTGTTGTGAATACAGTACATGTAAGTGAATTCTATAAAATATTTTGTTATTCTAAGATCAGGCATATGTATTTTATCCGGAACAGTGACTTCATATATATTAAAATCTTTAAATTTTCATGGGATTTTTTAATATAATTTTGTAAAATAAAATTAGTGATGTTTACCAGTCACTATAAATGGTGAACCATGGTAAATTTTATCTCCATCATTTTTTGCAGATCATCGTATCAATTTCTGGGTGACATAATTTTGGTCTCAAAAATATTTACATCTAAACTAAATAGATTCATTCGTTTATGTTACTCGTATAACATTTCTGTTCTAGAAACTCTTACTTTTTTAAGGTATAAGTTTGTAAAAGTATCATATAGAAGTATCAACTCTGTAAAAGAACTACTGAGATCCCTTCTTGATTTAATTTAGTTGTGTGTTTGAAATCTTTTATTTGACTTGAAAAAAAGGTTGGGTAGGGCTCTTAGTCTTCTTAGCAGCAATAATCTTCATTACAGTGCAGAAGAACTCATTCTTTTTCTCTTCTTTTTATAAATTCTGGCTCCTTGGTGTCTTAAGTTCACAGCTTGAAATTTTAATAATGCGAACTTTAACTTGACCAATATAGTTTTTATTTCAGGAAAAAGAAAATTTTATAACAAAAAAATGGGATTTGAGTCTTTATTTTAGGAAATTTATAGAGAAAAATGGATCTCAATTTGTTAATGAATACATTAACCCATTAATATAATTAAAAAATTCTCACGAGTAATCAGTAAAACAATTAAAACAATGCGAAAAAAAATGACCAATAGAAAAAAAAATCGATTAATATACCACTACTTTACCGTGTGATTACTATCACGTGAGTGAGTATCCTTTTTATATTAGTTGATCTTCATTTCTCTTCCGGCACAGATTCTGAAACGACACTATTCTTAAAGAGATTGTTCAAAGTAAATTTACATATGACACTGTTTGGAAAATAAAGAGGGTACGACTATGCCGATTCTCGTGTCTGTTCCAGTCCTTGGTGCGAGTGATTCCTTGACTATATATTACCAAGGAGATTACAGTCTTTAGCGGTGAAGTAAGAAGGTATCCAAGTTATTTCTTGGCGGTCGTCAGCCTCTTGAAAGTCTCAAGAAAAAAATTATCAATGGTGCAGGAACTCGCTTATGGTCCTCCCTTGAAAGCATCACTTATTTCGCTTATACCTCTATTTTACTATGCATCTGAAAGTTAGTAATAAGCGTCCTGGTTCTAAATTTTAATCATGTGTGTCCTATTAACAATGTATAATCGCTTCAAAAAAATCTACGGCTAATTGTTAATATTGCTAACTACGAGTCCATAATTATGGTATTCCATTCCGCCTTTATAGAGGACCAACAGGTAAGAGATAAGCTTTTGCTTCGATTTTTGTATCGCAACTACGAATCTGGCACGCGAAGACGCTTATACTGAATGGTTATGCTAGTGGTTATGCTGCGTTTATTCATGTGATAAAGCTCAGGTGAGAAATTTCACTGCGTCTATGATCACGTGCTGCCGTGCTGTAACAAGAAAAGTAATGTGCCCGGTTGCTTCTTCTTCCTCTTATAATCGAAAAACAATACACGGATAACATCGTACCAGAGTCTATGGAAGGAGCGTTTTTATTATATCGATTAGTAATCATTGATGACGCAAAAGTAAGTTTGATTTGTTTGAATTTTTTGTTCAATTTTTTTGTTTTTCTTACGTAAGGAGGATAAATTGGATATCCCTTTTTTATATAATTCGTAGGGTCGATTTGGAATACGCTTTTGGGAAAATTGCGTTAATATGACTGCATCAGAAAAAGGCTGAATAATACTCCTCCACACGGTGAGCTAATGCTAAAGAGACATAAAAATTTTCGGAATAAGAATTTTTTTTTTTTTAATAAAAAAGAATAAAATAACTTACTTTTTTTTCGTCCAGAAACTTTATCCGTACTATGAATTTGATTTTGGTTCCATTCGGAAAAACATCATCCATATTATAAGTATCTTCTCTATGAAATGAACAGGGAAGAGTATAGCATAGGGAAGAGCAGAGGGAAGAGTAGAGATGAAGGGAAAAGTATGTTATTACAATATATTTTCACATTTATTTTCATATTTTTACCGTTATTGTTCATTGGTATTGAGTGTATCTAATGGATCTTATTATTCGTTCGTTTTTACCCCAAAAATAAAAAAATATTGATTGGCTAAATTTATCATTGAAGGAGTATCCCTCTATTATCAACATCCATCAATCAATTAAATTCGATCTCTTTTTGGTGACATTAATAATTACAATATGTATAACAGCCTTATTGTATATAGATTGATTCCTTCTTCCACCTTTCCCCTTCATTTTGTTAATATGTCCTTGCCAAGAAATAATCCCGAGGTTCAGTAAGTATTGCTTTATGTAAAGCTTTGCGGGTGAGATTTATTATGGAAATTCACGAATATCGTCTTTTTTTTTTAAGTCCGCCATATTGGGGGATTCTTAGTCTGAATGGATTACAAAAGTTCACCATGAATAACATTCCAGGCTGCAACGAATTGTTTGTTACAAGTGAACAAAGATTTTGCATGAACGAAATCGCAAAGGCCGACAAGAACTTACTTGATAAGACAGTTCGTCAATTTATTATTAAAAATAAACTTAATGAAAACGGAACTTTTAAAAATATTTCAAAATTACGTGATTTTTTTCGGAAGATTTAACCAAAGTTTTTGCCCATTTGCCAGAAGATAACAATGAAGATGAGGAATGGGAATATTCGTTTAGCCAGAACGGCGAATCTTCCTCTTTAGCGTCATCAATAATTGGAAATCCTTGGATCACCGACGAAGACACGCGCTTCAGGCCACTTGGTTAAATATTCGGTGGAATAAGCTGATCAAAATATGGGGTGAATTATTAGACGATTTCTGATTAGACGTAGCAATTTCTTCAATTAATTTCCAATTCATAGAAGAAAATTTTTAAGTAATATAATTAAACCACAAAAAAATCTCGAAACATTTCTTTTAATTTTGATAGCCTTCCTTTATATAATTCACTGTTTAAACTTGGTCTCATTTCCATTTGGAGTTTAAGAAATGTTTGATAGAGATTTCAATTTCTTCAATTAATTTCCAATTTATAGAAGAAAATTTAAGTAATATAATTAAATCACAAAAAAATCGTGGAAGATGATAGAGTTCGACCGATCTGAAATAGAACTTTTTGATATTATAGAGGTAATGATAGTTTTACGTGCATTTAACCTAGGTCATTCGAAAAATCTTCTAATTTCCTTGTCCAACATGTGACCCGTTTATTTAGAAATTCAACAAACGTTTCCTATATTGAGTAAAGTTGATGGTCGGCATGAGGGATATGATTACTGTAACAGAGTGATGAAACCTTCCCGGCTTACCAGAGAATATTTCCGAATCCTTCAGTTTAACCGAACACTATAACTTTCATGTAATTTGTCGGTGGTAAATATCTCTGGATTCTATCGATTTGAAGATAAAGTCCTGGAAGAAATCTGAAAATCCGCCGCATCAAAATTTTGTTGAAGGGTTATCAAATATAATCTCGGCACTAGATATCTTTTTGGACACATCTTCGCAGAACTCTGAAAATGACGATTGCCAAGTGATTGGTAAATGTTTAAATGTTTTATTTTTAGAGTAAATTTAGAGATCTTGCTAAGACGCGTTTTATGTCATGGTTAGTAAATAATAATGCTTGACGAAAGGAAGAAAAACTAACCTGAGAGGCTGGTAACTTTGTGTAATATAAAAAATTATACTATAAGTAGTTCAGGTCTACAGTTAAGTCTATACGCCATGGATGCTCGAACCACAGGAATCGGTATATCGACAAGGTTTCATTACCCGCCTCAGCGAATGAGTTACCTGCGTATGAGGCAGTTCATACCATGTTATGTACTCTAGAGGTTTGTTTTTCACTTACCTCTTTACTAATGTATTTATCTTATCGTGCTTATTAATTTAATTTTACAGTATCGATTGAACAAGCTAACAGACTACTGTACGAAACTTAAAGTTGAACATGCAAGGTTGAGACGAAAACGCGATTACATGTATCAAGAAGACATCTAGCATTTTCAAACAACTCTCCGAATTCATCCCCCCAAAAAAAGTTAAAAATTTAATCTTTTATGTACTTTTAGGGTTGGAACACCTTTTCATCTGGGCTTTGGGATTTTTTTAATTTTTATACATAGTGAGTATGGTTTGGGGTGTAACTGTGCATCAGAAAATAGAAGATTGCCGCAAATAGTAAATTCGGCGTCAAAGAACATTTACGCAATTACGTTGACAAAAATGCATTTATTTAAATTATATAAAAAGAAATTAGTAAATTAGTAAATTAATATATATTAAACGTATAAATTACAATATTTAATAAAACTAATGAATATCTAATATATATACTGTAATTAATTCTACACCATTTATACCTTCTTTATAAATTTATTCTACCATTTTTCTCTATTTTCCCTTTTCCCTACAATGATTAATAAATAAATTACAAGATTTTTATATATTTTTCCTATTATAATATTCGGTATATTTAATCAAGTTTCAAAGTTTGTCTTATATATTTTTTACCAAAAATTACACAAATAATACTTAAAATTGTTAAAAGTATACCGGTCATCAATTCACCAATTTGTGATTCACTTGAAGTTATATTAAATAAATTAAATTTAAAATCCGACCACCTACTCAAAAAATTAACAAACAAAAAAAACATGTTAAACCAATGTGAAATAAAGCCATAAGAATCATTAACATTTAAATAAATAAAATTCAATTTACGTACACGCTTTCTACCCATGTAGTTTTTTCAGGATCAACTATCGTAGTTTCGCCTTTTTCATTAAACTCTAATCCAGCACCATATGAATCATGATATCTCGTAAAAGAATTCGTACAGTGTAGGTTTGCACAAATTTCTCCAAACTAAAAGAAGAATATTCAAATTGAATTAATTGATAAAAATGCTGAAATTTATACTTAGGAAAATTAAACATACCTCACAATCCACGTCATTTTTACATTTCCGATCCGATATTGAATTAGCATTTATTGATCCTAAAACATTATAATGAAAGCGTGGTAAAAGCTGTTGTGAACCTTGTTGAAATACTCCCGTATAATGAGATATCCTATCATCTTATTTAAAGAGAATAAAAATAAAAAATTTTAATATTAGAAGCCCAAAATTTTCCAATAAATTTTATGACTCATATTACTTACCTTTACTTTTTCTAAAAGCGTCAAATAAAGAACAAGAAGCATCTACGGTTAAACAGTCAAATAATAATCCAACTAAAGTACAATTAACGGAAATGGGATTATTTGCAGCTGAACTGGTTGGACTCAATAAATTTTGTGCATGTAACCAAACAGCTTGTGATGTTACATTTGCTATTGAACAAATTGAAGAGATAATTGTTGAAACATCCAAATCACTTCCATCATCATATTCACTATTATAATAACTATATAGACAAAAAAGAATTAAAAAATCATCAATCGATTATTAATAATATATTTTCCTCTCTTAATGTATTTCTTAACTTACTTGCTTAAATTTGCTTGAAAATCGCTTATAACTACAGCTGGTATATTTATATTTTTTTCCAAGAAAGCCATAGAACTACTGGGAGGCAATTTTCTGAATACACCATCCTCGCTAGCATTTCTAACAAATCCCGCTCCTGTTCCTCCAACAGCTGATAACGCTCCTAATCCTTGCATTAATAATCGATTTCCAGCATTGTTCTCGTTATCAACATGTACAAAATACTTAAATTCTTGTATATTTCCCGGCCCCTTACTTATCCCATTAGCTACACTACTTAGTTCGAATATAGAATCTATGTTACCAAAATTTATTCTTTTGAAGTCTAAATCTCTAAAACAAGGAAAAGTACATCCACCAAAATTCCCAGTATTGAACCCACATGATGTTGTTGGTTTGGTTTTATTTTGAATACAATTAAACGGTTCAAAAATGTTTTTAACAAATCTTTGTGATCCTAAAAATCCCCATGATTCCCCTGCAAACGATGTAAATAATATATGTTTTTGAAAGTTCTTTACTGGTGTTGGCGACTTGACAAAAAAGAAAAAAAAAAGAATTAATTAGTTATATTATGGGTTTGAAATTTTTTTTTTACTAAATTTCTTAAGTTAGCTTACCCTACTTAATGCATCTGCTATAGCTATTAAAGCAATTGAACCAGATATACCATTATTTAACCCAAACGTAATATCTTGAAATAATGATTTACTGTCCATAGCAGCTGATACTATTATAATTGGTTTACCATCATTCTCATTCATATCAATTGATGGTGTTGAATAAACCGAATATCCTCCAACCGGATTACAAAAATCTTTAAAAGTATTTAAAAAATACATGTATATTTTAATAATTATAATTATAAGTTATACTTCAAAATACTTTTTTAAAAAAAAATGATAATAGCTACTTCTTCTTAAACATGTAGAAGCGTCTACAGCAGCATACATAAGTGCATCAAATTCCACCGCTTTCAAAGGAAATCTTACATAAGATTTTCGTTCATTAAATTGCACTCCCTAAATTGAAATAATGTTAGAAGATAATATATTAATTTCAATAAATATATGGTATAAACTTACATTTATAATTCTATTATAACTTTTAATGGATGGTTTATCATAAGGATATAATGCAAATATAGGAAAATCATATCTTTCTTGAATAATCCCTAATCCCTACAAAAAAAATAAATTTTACAAATATATATCATGTCGTAAAATAAAATTTCGACCTTTTTTTTTTGTTATATCACTTACATTTGGATTCCATATATACCTACTTTCATCATTTCTATATAACCCGAATTGACAACTTGGACATTTTTCATCCGGTGATAAAAAAATCGGTCGTTGTATTATAGGAGCAGAGTTTGATGAACTTGGATCAGTACCATTTATTAATGTTAATACACCAGACATCTTTCCCGATGATTCAAGTGATCTTAGGTTATCACTAAAAATATATAAAAAAAGGTTATTATACCGAAGGTTATAATTAGTGTTATGAATATGTTTCAATTTATTAAGAAAAAATTATATTAGTAATTACTTTGTCATTAATTCGTATGGAAGTATTACAACATATTTTCCTTTTCGGTCTGATTTTATAAAATCATTTAATAAATCTTGCGTTTCTGTTAAGATTAATAATCCACTTGTCGGTTTTAAAGCTTTAGGAATAAAAGTGGGTTACAAATAGGTTTGATCCGAAGAATAAATTGGTGAAATTGAAAATTACGCACATTGACATCCCATTACGCCGGTTGAATTTAATATACGAACGCATGGTACGGAAACTAGTTTCTTATAAAAAACCTTATTAAATTCATTATCCTGTGATAACGCTATTCGTTACAAGAAATTGCACGAAATATATTTAAAATATGTTAGTTTTTAATATAAGTTTTTTACTTTAAATAATGATTGTTTCGTTATGGGGTACATTACCTAGATGCGTCAATAATGAAATAAAAAGAATTTTTTTTAATAATATATTTATATACATCTTGGAAAATAAAAACAAAAAAAAAGAATAACGAGTTGTAAAGAAATGAAAAAATATCACTTATATATCCGTTTTTGTATAGAAAATAGAAATGATACACAGGTTGCATTTATGTAACACAAGCATAAATTTGTGGCATACAAATTAACAGTTATTTTACTATTTGTATTACAATGATCTACAATATAGCATTATTACTGTGATTTTGGAAATTTCTAATTTCATAACTTACTTTTACTCTTTCCTCATCAACATCCCAACATTTCCGTTTTACAAACTCCTCCCCTTTCTTTACTTCAACATTCTTTACCCTTTTATAATTCTCTAGTTTGAGAGTTAACATGTCGAAAGGGTCCCCGCATTATTCAATTAATAGACCAAATATCATTCATTATACATTTTGGGCTCTGGTAGCTATAATTTTCTTATATGCTCTCGGTTCAAACTATCTCAGTAAGTATTGATATAAGTATTGATATTAAGAAATACAATATTTAAATTAAAAGGCCATACGTTTATACTTTTTTGCTTCATTAAAAATCTATTTCAGATAATGATCCATTTAAGTGCAATAGTTTGCTCAACGATGGATCATTTTTAGATTCAACCGAACATAGAAATTGGCAACCATCATCATGCATGATGAAGAAATATGATACGCAAAGTGCAGCATCATGTTTAAAAAATCGACGAATTCTTTTCATAGGGGATTCAACGATTCGTGCATTGTTTTATTCATTAATAAAAAAAATCGAACCTACAATAAATACAACATCACAACCCAAACATTCCGATTTACATTTTACGTTCAACGAGATTACATTTGATTTCCGATGGGATCCTTATTTAAATAGTAATTCAACAGATATTTTATTAGGAAAGAGTCATGAAAGAAGTAGAGGGTTATTTGGTAAAAGACCAAGTATTTTAGTAATGGGTAGTGGATTATGGTATTTAAGACATCGAGGAAATGGTGGAATTAACGGATGGAAAAAAAATATAGATAGAATATTTGACGTCATCACATCATCACCAAAAGCTTACTTTTCTATTGCTGATGCAATATTTTTTGCACCGGTAGAACATTTAGTTCATGAAAAATTAAGTCCAACAAGAGCAATTACGATGTCAGATGAAGATATTTATAAAATGAATGAATATTTAAAAGTTAAGCAAAAAGAAAAAGATTTATTAGATGTTCCATTCGTATTTAATAAAATTATTGAAGAAGCAAGAGAAGAAACGGAAGACGGATTGCATTATTCGGATGAGATTATAAATATTCAAGCGGATATCCTACTCAATTATAGATGTAATGATTTATTACCTAAAAAAGCTCCAATGTCTAATACATGTTGTAATAGATATCCACAAATGAAATGGGCGCAATTTAGCATTTTTGTAGTCTTTCTTGTATTAATACCAATTGGTGTTTATTATAAAATATTTGAATATCGATCTAATAGATTATTGGAAAAAATAATTCCATCAGAATCTATATTATTCTCATTACTTACATTTGGGTTAGCAGTTATATATATGTATTGGTCAGATCGTTCTTCTCTTTTCTCTAAATCTCATAAACAGTATGATGTCTATCACTTCACATTACTCACCATTCTTTACTTAGTCGGTGGAATATTTTCATTAAAAACTAAAGATAAGGATCAAGCATTCCTTAATCGTGATCAAACGGACGAATGGAAAGGATGGATGCAAATGGCAGTACTTGTATATCATTATATAGGAGCATCAAGAGTATCCGGAATTTACAATTCAATTAGAATTTTAGTGGCATCTTATTTATTCATGACAGGATATGGACATTTCATTTTTTTCTATAAAAAAGCGGATTTTGGACTTAATCGTATTGTTAACGTAGTAATTAGATTGAACTTATTGACCATAGTATTAACTTACGTTATGGATACTGATTATCTCTCTTATTATTTCACCCCATTGACAACATTTTGGTTCTTTGTTATTTATATAACGATGTATATTAGATCATCACGCAACAATTCGATGATATTCTTATTAAGTAAGATGGCACTTTCATGTACAATTGTGTATTGGATTATACTTAAACCAGGAATATTAGAGAACATATTTTCATTTCTAGAAATCATTGCGAATATTAATTGGAACGTAAAAGAGTGGAGATTTCGGATACAATTAGATATATTTATTGTATATATTGGAATGTTAGTTGGACTGATACTAATTAAATTTCAAGAATATAAAATAACTGAAAAGAAATATTGGACAACAATTAAACGATATTCTATAATTATTTCCGCTATTGTGATGATTTGGTTCCTTCATTTTGAAATAACCAGAGAAAATAAGTTTAAATATAATGAATATCATCCTTATATTTCATTCTTGCCTATTATTTCTTTTATCATATTAAGAAATAGTACACAATATTTAAGAAATACCACTAGTGGATTATTCACTTTTATTGGAAAATGTTCTTTAGAAACTTTTATTGGACAATTTCATATGTGGCTTGCTGCTGATACCAAAGGGTTACTTGTATTAGTTGGTGATGGACAATGGGGATTTTGGTGGTGGATTAACTTATTTGTGGCCTCTTTCATTTTCATTTACATTTGTTATTACTTGACCAAATCCACGAGTGAATTAACTAATTGGATTTGTCGTTCAACAATAATAACGACTACAAATATAAAAGGAAGTGATAATCCTCCCGATCCTAATGTTGTACTAGTAGTAGATGATAATAATGAAAAATTTGATGATCGCGAAAATGATAATAATAATAATCCACTCAATTCCATAATTAATCTTTGTGAAAAATTATTGAATAATTTGAAAATTAGAATAACTTTATTAATAATAATTATGTGGATTGTTAATTTACATTATTATAAATTATAATAGCCCTCACCAAAATTATAATATTAGTAATATTAATTTAAATTATAAGTGTATATAAATATCTTATGATATTCTATATTAGGTCTTTTTTTTTTTAAAAAAAAAAAAAATTATTCTGTCTGGACATAAAATTGAAGTCACATTTATTAATCTAAATCTGATATGGAAGAATTTATGCTTAACGATAATANTTTTTTTTTTTAAAAAAAAAAAAAATATGAGGAAAGAATAATTTTTTTATATACGTACTTTTTTTTAATCTCTCTTTCATAATAAAAATCACAATTTTTTAATAAAAATTTTTAATTTAAACATATAGAATATATATATGTGTGTGTGTGTATATTATATACTAATAAAAAATTATTATGCAAAAAGTACGTAAAACACATTCAAAAATACAGCAGCTATACTCATTTTAATTCCAATTCCTTCCACAATCAATGAATTACCATTTCCTTCGTAATATGAATCTGAACCTGAATCTGTTGGAATTGAAGCCGGCGCAACTGTTTTAATTACCTCAACCGTTGTTGATGGCACTTCCGTAGTTTGAGGAGCAGGAGGAGTAGTCTCAGCTGGTAAAAAGGATGTAGATAAAATCGTTACGGTAACTGTTGGGGTCGATGCAGTTGGTATAGGTGGTGGTGGTGCAGGTGGCGCAGGTGGTGCAGGTGGTGCAGGTGGTGCAGGTGGTGTAGGTGGTGTAGGTGGTAACGAAGTTGTAGGAGTAGGTATAGGTATAGTTGGTGATATAGGCGGAAAAATGGCCCTTTTGAAAAGTCCTCTTTCTGAAGATTTTGCTGTAGTAACAACTAACAGCATTATTAATGAGAATAGAAATGTTGACACAGATTTCATGTTTAATTGATTATCTTTTTAAGAATTTTTGTTTTTTTTTTTTCTTTTAAACAAGTTGTTAAGTTTGTTCATTACTGCTCTTTTTATATTTAGAAAAAACTATACTTAGAAGCAGATCTAAACTATTTACCAATTTTTTTAATCTTTCTTTAATTTCCATAAAAATTTCTTAGTAAAAAGAAAATAAAAAACGATTGGTTAATTTCTTATCTCCTTTTTGAACTTTTCTAATTATCACGCGTAAATATCGCGTTTTAAATATCATTTACCCCGGAATTGTCCATGTTTCATAATTTATGATATATCATGTCATATTATAAAATTTATTATTATTAAAAATAATTCGTAATTCATACCTGAATTAAAAAGAGATTTACAATTGTATTCATAAAAAAGCAAAATGTAATCAGATCTTGTATAAAATCCTAAATTGGAACGTTTTCCGTAAATTCGAATATAAAAATAATTACCGGTTCATCTTTTGATCATCGCATGATCATGCATGATGCATGATGCAGTATTACAGTATTCATTTTTTTACGTTGTTACGACTCACTCCCTTTTGAAATTTTTTTTTGGTTAGTGTATTATGTCGCAGTCAAAAAATTTGTAATCACGTAATGAAATAATACTTTATTGTTTATTTTAATTTAATTTGTGGCGATATTTCTATATAAAGTAATTGAATTCTAGATAAAGTTAATACAAAAAGATTTCCGATAAAGTTTACAATATTACAAACCGCAGCTGCAACAATTTTGTTTATGATTTTCTATATTTGGTTTTTGGTCTATTGAAATCAAAAACTAATATTTGTAAATTTTACTGTTTGTACTGCGCATAATCAAAGGTAACTCCGAAATTGCTATTATTAGTTGAAAATTTTTCCGCAGTTAAATTATTTACTTTCTCACGTTTTTGTTAGATAACGCCATTATTATATAAAGGTCAACTTCCATACATACATAATACTTAAATTTCTTTCTTTTTTTATTAAAAAAAAAAAAGAAAAAAATAATTTTAAAATCATGGATACTCAACAATCAGAAGTTAAATTTTATAATTTTTCTGATAATAAAAGTATCGTTTCTCTTAAAATACCTGATGACGTGATTACTAAATGGTTCGAAGGGAAGAGACGTGAACTCAAACTATATATCATCCTTGATATTTCAGGTAAAGATTTTTTTTTTCATTTCTCGATAATTTTCTAATTTCATTAATTTCATTCGTTATTTTGCCCGTTAATTAATCCAATTATTTCATTGTCATGAATTTTTTTATATATAGGATCTATGGCTGGTTCCGGATTGACCCAGGCCAAAGCATCTATCCTCAAGTTAATGGAAGGTTTATTCGAAAGTCATGTACTTGCTGAAAAGGATATTACATGCTTTTTCTTTCAATCAACTTGTGAAGTTAAAAAATTTGCCGATGATCCAAATCTATTATGGAGTAATGGTTCTATCAAAAAATATTTTGATGATATAAACTCTTATGGAGGTAATTATTAATATTTCTTTATAATATAATATTATTTTATTTATTAATAAATATTTTTTTTTTATTTATTTCTTTTTAATTTAGGAACTGATTTTAATCCCGTATTTGAAAGTATTATTAAAGAAGTAAAGGGTATTGATTCAGATTTAGCAATAATCTTCTTTACTGATGGGCAAGGTGGATATAGTGACCCTGTCAAATCACAACTTGAAACCGCGTTGGCTCAAACCGGATTCTCTACAGAAATTCACTCAATTGGGTTTACCGGAAGTCATGATGCCAGTAAATAAATATTATCATAACTTTTTTTTTTTTATTTGTTTATTTAATTTAATTAATTCCTTTGACATTATTATATTTGTGTAATAGAACTTCTTTCATGGTTGACAAAACTTGGTACAAAACAAGGAAACTTTCAGTATGTACAATCTTCGGGAGATATTCAATCAACAATGAACACCACGTTAGAATTATTGGAATTAAGTGACCGCACTTTATATGTAAAAATAAGTGATGATGAATTCTTACCTACTGGATTTGATGTTCATGGTCGTGGAAAGTTGGTTCTCACTGATGAGAACGCTAATATTAAAGGTCGAAAATTTTCAATTTTCAAAGATAAAGAAAGTGGAGAAAATTTTGATATTGAAACTGACCCAATTCAAGTTCAACCCGACGATCCTTTGGCTACATTGTTAACGATTCCATATATCCAATTTGAAATTACACGTCTCACAAATGAAATAATTAATAGTAATAAGAATGATGAGAGTCGACGCCAACGTTTTAATGAAATTTCACAGGAAGCAAATGATTATGATGAAAAATTAAATGATATTTTACAAGGTGCTTTCAAATCCAAATCAATTACGCGAAGAGAACTTATTCAACAATGTATGGATGCAAAAAGTACCATTCTTCAATTTAAAGATATATTGTCAGAGTAAGTCTTTCAGTGTTCTTTTTTTCTTTTTTTTTGAAAAAAAAAAAAAAATGAATAAATATTGTATTGAGACTAAAATTAAAATATGTAAAATATAGGGCATTAAAAGGAACTCTGACAAATCAAAAGATTGCCGACTTTAATAATTTGGCGTATAAAAACATAACAAAACAACGATTAAAGAAAAAACTCGATGATCGTGCCATTAGGAACGTTGAAAAAATGGAAGAAGTTGAAAAGAAAATTGAAGAAATTGTTAGTAAAATAGACTTTGTTGAATTGGAGAATCAAGAATCAGAGGATAATTTGCAAACCTATACATGCACAATTTCGACAGGTAATATTAATAATCAAGTGGTTTTACTTTATAATTATTTGTTATCTAATAAGTTTTTTTTCAACAAAAATAGATAATTACATTGAAGTCATGAAAGAGGGCGAGTGTATGTGCTTAACTCTTGACGTTGGGCGTTCTGAAGCTGCTATAGCGGATCCATCTCAAATCTCAATCAAAAAAATAAACCAAACATTAATGAGTTCAGGAGCTTTCTTAAATTCGGTCACTTTCGCGTTGAATGATAAATCTAGTGTTGAATCAGTTCATGGTGGATTCCAAAAAGAATCAATTTCTGCTAGTATTTTTAAAGGGTTAGCTCGCGAAAACATAACAGGTTTGCATTTGTCTATTTTTACTTGGTTAATGTTAACAAATACCTCAATAGATTGATTGTTTATTTTTATAATAGGAATTCTTCCATTATACATTAATGAAAAACATTGGTCAATAGCTCGTGAAAAAATTAAGGTAATGATTATATAATTTAATAATAATAAAATTTTATTTTCAAATCTAGGCATTAACTCCTTATTTTTTTTTCAAATAACAACAATAATAATGATAATTATAATAGCCTATAATGGGATATTTGGTTACTCTTGATATATTCGGTTATGCTTATAGTCAAATCTCCACTGTTCCTTATTTGGTATTGTCTAGAGCACTTGGCGACACATCATCGGAGTTTAAGAGACGTCAGGCAAAATGGATCTTGGAAACGTGTGACGCGATTTACAAACAATCCAGCGCCCTTCGTGAGGATAATAAGAAACTCTTTAAAAATTACATAGAGAATCCAGCAAATCGTACAATTGAACATGTTCCGAATAATTTAGTATTTCTTGGTCATTTATTGTGTGCTTTAAGATGTGGAGATGTTAGTGCACAAGATGTACAAAGATGGTTACAAGGAGATCTATTAAAATCTTTGATCGAAGAAACCATTCGTAGAAGGTTAAACAAATGGCAAGATATCGAAGAAAGTATGGAAGATATCGCCAAGGTTTTAGGTGTTAATCAAAAGGTTTATATAAATGAACCCGTTGAGGAATTTGAAAAAAGTTATACTGAATATTTTAAGGCTTTAGCATCAGATAATAATACAAACATTCATTACACGGCTGCATTTGAAAAAGCTCTTTCTGATTCAGGTATCAAAGTTGAAACTAATAAGGAAGAACCAACGAATAAAGATATGAAAGATGTGCCTGAATTACCAACGGTCAAACAAACATTTTATGATTCTAATACATATCAAATTTCAGATTATGCGTTAACTATAATCGCCAAAATTAAAAAGGCTGTCAATTTATTCGTAGAGATTATTTTGCGATATAACAAAATTTTAGAATCAACACTTGCAAATCCAAATGTATCATTAGATAATTCAGAATTTATATTCATAGAAGGACAAACACCCCTTGCCGATGCTTTCTTTGATACATATAGCTCTAAAGTTATCCTAGCAACTTTCTTACAGTCATTCTTACATCGACAAAATTCAGTTAGGCGTGAAGCCGTTGAAGCTGATCCACCTAAATATTATGAACCGTTCTCAGAAGACACTGCAGATAAACTACTTTCTACTCAATTTGATGAATATGTTTCTAGTAATTTGAAAAGGAAAACCAATGATATAATAAGCACTTTTACGCAAGGAAAAAATAGTGCTATTGGTCTTAAATTCTGGCAGGTTGATAAAATTGAGGAAGCAGCTGGTCTTTTGTTAGTGGATGTAAAATTTAGAGGGTCTAGTGTATATGGACAAATACTTAAAGCATTGCAAAAAACAGGTATGTCCTTAGCCAAAGAAAAAATCGAAATGGTAATTTCAGGAAAATGGCAAGGCGTTACTTTGTTTGTAGATAAACCAACGAACCCAGATGATCCTGGTAATTTATTTATTTAGAATGATGCTTTTTTGTTTTTATCAATTAATTTTATGAAATTAATAAATATATTATCATTTTTTGTAGAAAAACTCGCAAGATTTGTTGACAATGAACATTGGTTCCCGAGTCGACAAAAAGTATACCGAACGTTGAAAGCGCACAGATCAGTTATTCCAGAAATTGATTACTGGATTCGAGTGATGCCTCCATTTAAAGAATATATTGAACATCAATTTGATGAAGAATATCTTAATGCAAGGAGATTAGCAAGTATTGAAGAAAGAAAGAGTCAACGTATTAAGAGGAAATAAGTAATCTAATAGTAATATATTGAGATTTTAAAAGTTAAAGTAGCTAGCATCTTAGAAGTGCAAATATATGTAACAATAATAACAAAAAAAACTCATTTATATATAAATAAGTAAAAAATTCTGTAATTGCAAAAATTATCTTAAATTTGTACTATATATACTGTACGTATAATATTATTATTATTTTATATATATAATAAAAGCATTGGTGCGAAAATTTTTTTTTTTCAAAATAGTAAAATCTTTTGCATTATGAATTTTTTAAAAAAGATACGTGTTCCACTAATAAATTAAAATATATAAATAACTACAGCCTAGACAACTATAAACACTAGTAATTATTCAATCCTTAAAGGAAAAGTATTAGTAGATTATTACTTCTACATAAACATCCAACAGTCCCAAACCCATTAATATATATATATATATTATATATTTATGATCCATTAACTCGATAGAAGAAATAATCTTTCAAATTCTTTTTCAAACTTTTCATCATTATTAATTATAATTTTACTATCATCATCAAAATGATGATTAAATCCTTCAAATAAAATATCATTCAATAATGGATGTAATTGAATTTTATCTTCTACTAATTCATTTATTAATGATTTTATTTCTTAAATTAAATGATGATAAAAATTTTTGGTTAATTTTTTAAAATTTGATTTAATAATATAGAAGTGATAAAAATCTTTTACATACCTTTTATGATTACTTGTTTGTTTGATGCTATCTCCATCATTACTAACACTGTAATAATTACTCTGTAAACTACAATAAATATTGTAGGACGTGAAGTGAATCCCAAAATTCCATTATTTTGGTTCTAATAAAAAATTACAATAACATTTAATTAAATTAGTTCAAAAATAAAATTCATAATAAATTAGTTTAATTTACTTGCCTTTACTTCATTATCTTTTAATAATACGCAAATTTTCCGTAATTGTTCAACAGCAAACATTGGAACATCACGTTTAAAAGCATCAGGAAAATCCAAAACATTACCTTCCTTATTAAAGGCAAATTTTAGATGTTTATATGCTAATTGAATATCGATCAAATCTTCTTTATAGATGTTTGGATTCTCTACAACAAATAAAATTCTTATCGGATTTGTTTCAGCATTAATTACTTCATCTGCAAAATATTATTATTATACGTTTAGATATGTATATTATAAATGATAAAAGAAATTAAGAAATTGTTATTTAAATTACCAGGTTTATCACTACCAGTAATTGTTTGAAGTAATGATACATATAAATAAAGTGACTTTGAATACGATTTTGTCATATATTCGAAACATATTTCACGTGCACGATCACAGTCTACTGGTGCCTATATTAATTAAAAAATATGATCGATTATTGTATATTCATATTTAGTTGTTTATTTAATAATACTTGCCTCTAATCCGCTTGCTTCCGATATCATCAAAGCTGCACTATGACGCAAATCTATATCATCATCCTAAAAAACCAAAAATCAGTATCAAATAATTTATACATTTAATCATTATTTACTCGAATTAATTACCTGTGCAAGTCGAACTAAAACTAAATATAGTGTTATAATTTGTTGAGTATCTTCATTTTTAAAAAGATTAGGTTCCTTGAATAAATATATACTAAATAACTTCAAAGATGCTGTTGTAGCTTCACGTAATGTCAGGGTCTATTAATAGAATTGGTAATAAATAAACATTATACGCAAATTATGATATTTAATAATATTACTTACAACTTCTGGTTTGGTATTCTTTTCTATATATTTGCACCATTGATTAAGACTTTCTGATTTAAAGTTTCCAGGAAGTGAATCATCTTGCCAAATCTGTTAATAAAAAGTAATATAAGAATATTTTCAACATAAAGGACTTTTTTTTATGATAAATACTTGTGACAATAAAGATCCGAGAAGTGGTAAAATAGCTTCGGTTTTGGTTGAACTTTCTACATGTTCCATATAATTAAGCAATTTTTTCCAGAACTCCTCTAACCCAAAATCCAAAGAATTATTAGAAATTAATTTTGGAAATGGATTTTCTGAATCAATCAAAGTAAGTAATTCAACCGCTCGTTGAAAACAATTTTGATAAGGTTCCTCTTGAAATATCATTTTAATTATTTTACATTGAAGCATTAGTTTGTCAATGCTATTAAAATAATAATTTAGGAAAAACTTTAATTGTTTTGTTTACATGTTCCGAATATTCAGTACAACATAATACTACACTTACCAAATTTCCCTGTATTTACTTGAATTAAAAAAAGCTATAAGCATTTCTAAGCCGACAAGCCTCACTTCATAGTCTGAATCGCTTAAAATATCAATAATTATTGACGAGTGTTCAGAATTATCTTGACTAGTAAGAGACTTAATTATAATTCTTGTCATTTGTTGACGTACAAGATAATAACCAACTTCATATATATCTTGATTTTTATTGATGGATCTCATATCGGAAAGTGACATATCAAATATGAGCTGTCTTAGTTCAAGAAAATTATCTTCCATTAATACTATTAATTCTATTTTATAATGGTAAAAGTTAATATAAGCATTTTAGTAATTTTACTTAAGGAATCAACATTCTAATTACCTAGACGTTTTTCCTCATTTTGCTCAATAAATATCCAATTCCCATCAATTACAAATTCATATAATATATCCAAATATAAATATCTTGTAATATTACAAGAATTATTTTTAAATGCAAAATAAATCTTCGACTTGAAGATAGGAGGCATGTTAACTAAAAAATCTGAAAATTTCTCAAATCAGACACATTAAAAGATAAATTTGAATAATAGCATAGTAACACGTAAATTACCTTTCATTATATCAAAATTAGCAACGTTGCTTCTTAAGTGTCCACGTAATAAATATTGAACTTGAATTAATCTTCCATGCAATTCATTTTGATTAGACATAACACTCTCATTTATTAACTTAGAACAAGTTACAATGAGATCATTTGATGGAATTAATGGAACAATTGCTCTTGCTGCAATTTCCCTTGTCTAAAGATATAATGAAATTTTTAAAATGATTTATTGGTTTTATAAATTTGTCTCAAAACAAAAAGTATAAATACCTTGTGAATGGGTGAAGAAGAACAAGATAAAACCAGTGATACAAATGGATTCATAGTCAGTACAGAACTAGAACCATCCATCAAAGAAGGGTGAAGCCTTGATAAAAGAGTAAGGATAGGATAAAGACCCGGGTGAACTGTAGATTGAGATACCTATTAAGACATTAATATATAACATAAACTTAAATATGTAAAGAAAGTACAATATCGAATAATTACTTTGGTTGATTTAATCAATTGATCCACGGCAATTTTTAGTTCATCCAACAAAAATGGATAAAGTTGAGGAAACCTTGAAAAGAATTCTCTTCTGGTTAATTTATTAATTGAATGATATTCATCTTTTGTTTTTCTTACACCAAATGTCCTTTGTAATAAAGTAGAAAACAGCATGACTGAGCAATTCCTGACAGCCCAACTGGAATTGTATTTTATATTTAGGTCTAATTTAATATTAAACAATAAAGAAATTCGCAGTCATATAACAAAACCTTGGTGAAGAGAATCCTTTGATTGCTAATATAAATCCATCAGAAACATATGGTAGAACATCAGTTCCAAGTTTAGCATCCATAAAAATTGATCTCAATATATTAAAAGCATGGACCTGATGTGAGTCAATGGTTTGATCAAAATCGTCTGAAGGAGCTTGTGATCCTATCTCGATAAGAGTTTTTATTGTCCAAGGAAGCAGAACTTTACAGTTGCTAGGTTCGCCACTGATAATAGCTAAAATACATAATGGAAGTCCAGCGCTTCTACGTGTAATTGAAACTGAATTGGCCATAATGTTATTAATGTTATCCTAATATGTGGATTTTATATCAAAGGGGGTTACTAATGTTTATACATTCATTACTTTAACCATTTTAATTTACCTCTAACCACATTTTGGGCAACTCTACAAATTTAACTTGTGATGAACTTAAAAGTCGAGAACAGACAGCCACGTAACCAGGATATACAGCAGAAAATGCTCCACGATGACGTATCGAAGTCAAAAGTGTCCGAAACAGATCACCACCTTTACGTATTTTCTCATAATCAAGTATAGAAAACTATACAAAAAATGAAGCTAGTTAATGAAATGCATAAAATAATATCACAATTATGTGGCATTGTTTAAATGCGGATTACATACATTGGTTTCCAAACTAACAGATATTGGGGCTCTTGATAAAATTATGGCAAGAAGAGAACTATAAAATTTTGCAATATTAATATTATATGACATAAACACGAAAAAAAAAGAAACAATTACTACTTACCTTGCCTCTTTCACAGCTCTCCAACAACAACTAAGAATGACTTGGTGTTTTGGACCTCCTTCTTCTCTGTCAGGGTCTTCATCCAAGTTTAATACTAATTCATCAATCATTTCTTCCATTTCTTGAAATGATGCCGGTACATTTCCTTCTGGAGAAGGATTTGATAGAACTTCTAAAACTATCTGGCAAACCTTGTTAATCAGACTTATAGCATGACTGTGAGTATCTCGCCATTCTTCAAGATTATTTTTTACTTCTAAAGAATTATAATCCAATTCCTTAAAGATGTATTGTAATGCTAATAAAGTTCCATGCATCGGAAACTTTTGTGAGGCAAGCAATAAATTCTCAGAAGCGATGTTAATTTGCTTCTTTAATAGAGAAAAAAGTTTTCTTGTGAAATTAACTGTAAAAATATAAATTAATTATTTTAAGGTCTAATTGATTAACAAATTAATAAAACAATTGATGATAATTCTTACTCGAAGGAATATCAACTTTTTTATAATCTTCCAATCGTTCACTTTGCTTAATTTCGACATCAAGATCAAGGTTTAAATTCAAGACATATTTGGAGAAAATTAATCGAAAAATCATTGCACCACTATCACTTTCACCAGCTCTTGTACTTGTCATAGATTGTAATGCCCAAAACAAAATTTTCTGAACGTTATCTTTTGACTCTATACCTGGTAATGGTGAAGGAAACTCCTGAAGAATTTCATAAGCTAATGTACGATTCTCATCAAAAGGATTCATAAGACAATGCAAGATTAATTTAGTATTCCTTGCTGATGCAAGGGATAATTGAAATGGAAACTCGGGAGTCCTGCAGTGTTGAGCTACAAATCCTTCAGGCAATGGGGTATTTTCGATGCCAAATGTTTTAATTAATATAACGAATGTCTTAAGCGCGCTTGAAACTCTTTGAAATGATGCCCCAGGGTAAAGCGAAGCTGTCAATAATTCTATAAGCCAATTCAAAAAACTCCGAGTATTATCAATCTTTTGTTTTATTTCTGAATGTGCATCTCCTGTTCTCGAATCCTTATGGCTCTCCACATATTTCATGTGAGATTGATAATTTTTCCATTGATTATATAAATTGCCTCTAAGTTTTGCGAAGAATTTGTTCAAGTGACCAAATAGTTTTTGTCTAAATTCTGGTGATGTTGAATTCAGGTTTAATTGGAAAAAGGATTTAAGCAGTGCAAGCTCAGTTGATGTGATTTCACTCGTTAATTTTCTTGATTCACATATTAAACCAAGCACATCAATTCGAAGATTTAAATCCAAATGATAAATTGCATCACGAAGAAGTTGCAATCGAATATTCTTACGATTCGTATCAATCGAATCTAAAGAATATAAATTAAATAACATAATCAAGAGAAAATTTTAAACTAATAAAATTTATGTACCTTGCTTACTTTCAATAAACATGTTTCCGTCAACAAAATCCAGTGATCTACCCACTTTTAAGACCATTATTAGTGCATTTAATCTATATCGTTCATTATTTATAAATTCGTTCCCATGCTTATTATTTTGCAGAATATCAATAATTCTCCAAAATGATGATGATTTTGCTTTAAACAATGGTTGAAGAATGAATGCACCAATATTTTTGCGAAGAATATCATCACTTGAGGAAAGACCTTGACAAATGGGTGTCAACCATAGATCAATCCATTCGTTTACTATTTCCTCACGTTTTTCATCCTTTTTAATAGTAATATCTCGGAACTCGGAAGAAAATAATTCTTCTAGGTGTAAATCAAGAAAAGTTACCATCATCGCGGAAGCTCGTGGTGCGATAACTAGATTATGCAATACTTCCAATGTCTTGGAAACAAACTCTGGTTGAATTGATAAGATTTTAACCGTTCCAACTCTAGGTAATAACAACAATAATAAAGAATATTTCACTTTGCGATATTGATCCATTATTAATAATTGGTTGAGTAAATTTACAAGATAATCATTGTAAAATTCTGCAGATTGCTCAAGCTGGCTCTTTAGGCTTATAATATCCAGTAATTTCTCAAATATTGTCTTCACCTATTAACAATAAAAGCTATATTACATTTTTATTGTAAAAAAAATAATTGAAAATCTGTAATTACCTTAAACTGAATAGCATCTACAGGATCTTCCCAGTTGTCCAAAACATATGACATCAATTTTTCTAAAACTTCCGAATTAAGTATTGAATTATTATTGTCATAAAGTTTACTAGTCTCATCATTTCTTAAAGTATTTTCTGTTTCCTGAAGCCATAATCCCATAGTTTCAAATGCTAAAACTTTTGTTTGTGAATTCAGAGCATTATCACAAAAATTTGCTATGCTCAGGAATAATATATGGTGAAGAGTTTTTGGATTTGAATCATTTGATCTAAATAAAAAAAAATGAAGTCAAAATCGGGAAACATGATATATATTTCCTTATTTATAAAAAAAAGAGTACACCAAAGAAACCTTAATATTGAGATTTTAAACTGAAATTTTCCAGATAAAGGGAAAATTAAAACTTTTCTATCCAAATTTGATAATAAACCGCGACAAATTGGTAACATTAGGGGGTCACCACCATTCCATTCAGTTTCCTTGAATAAGATAGCTGGTATTTTAACACCCAAATGATCCATAAAATCTGAATCATGTTGGTTTTCTTCATTATTTAAAGAAGCAAAAAACATGACCATGACTTGTTTACTGACAAATTGTGATGAGCCCAATAAATTCAAAGTTGCTGCCATAGTCATTCCAGCCAACTGTCTTACATCCTTAATATAATTATTATCAGAGCAAATTACCAAACATTCATTAAGCAAATCGGGAACCAATTTATTAACAACTTCCTCTTTGTCATTGTTGATATTGTAATCACTAGCAAAAACATTCCAAATAGATTCAAATTGAGGCCTCAAATTTTGATCAAATCTAGCGAGCAAAGCTAATAAAGTTTTAATCACGTGTTGCGCATCATGCATGTGCTTAGCGAGCGATAATGGATCTGGTGATGATTTCTTCTTTTGTTCATCTTCCCTGTTAACATTTTGAATAATTAATGATAAACATTCGTTAAAAAATTGAAGAGTTTCGAATAACTTTTTTTCTACGGTTGAAAATCCTAATGGAAAATCTAAAGTGATGTAGATTGACATGCCTTTTTGACTGAATAAATGAGTAGTATAATTATCAAGAGTGATATAACGAGAATATTCTTGTTCGAACTCCTTAATCATTTTATTTTCTTTATTATTTGATTGATCCTGAATTGAGGGATTACAAAATGAATTCCTATTTGATATCATATAACATGAATCAAGTATAGGGATACAAATTCGGTTTGTTAAAGTTGTTATTGAAGAAAAATATATTCCTGATATTATAGGCTCAAGGATTGACTCAATTTGATTTATAAAGTGTGATGATAATGAAGATTGTTGTCCAGAATTACTTTTTTTTGATGGTAAAGTCTTTCCTAATTTAAAATAAATGATTTAGTGAAGATTAAATTTAATAATTTTTCAAAATAATACTCACCTACGGATTTTATATATTGACTTTGCTTTTCCCATGTAGCTTCTTTATCGTATAATAAATCTTTAACCTTTTGAATACTTTCATGTAATTCTTCTGAAGGATGATCAGAAAGATAGCGTTGTAAGATATTAACCCATGATTGATCAATAGCTATTGGTGTTTTAGGAGCTCTTTTACTTTTATCTAAAAAAGCCATTATTAATTTATTAAAATCTTATACTTTTTTTCTTATCTAACATCTAGCAGTTAACCGTCGAGATTTTGTATCACATCAATCGTGACACAATGTGTTTGATTTACTGATCTAGTAGTATATAATTTATTTTATCTACAATTTGAAAAAATAAAATATTTTGATTAAATACCTCTTTATCATTTTATATTTATATTAGATTTTACTACATTAATGCAATTTTTAAAGATTCTTAATAAATTCTTTCTTTTGCTTCAAAAATAATTTTACTTAATATTTTTTTGCATTTTCAATAAATATGTTATTTATTAGAAGAATTATAGAACAATAATTAATAAGTAGTTTATTTTTAAACCACATAATAAAATAATACCCATGTATTAAATAAATAATCTACAAAGAATAAATCATTTGGCTATATAACACATATGTATATATTTAATAATTATTTCTTCCAAAGGTTGTTAAATCATCATCGGGTAAAAATGAATCTTTTAAATGATGATTACGATTTCTTGCATCATTCATATTCATAACTCTTCTAATTTCTTGGCAATTATGACAATTACATTGTTCATTAACTATAGACTGACTGGAAGATTCTGAATTAATTTCTTTTGAACATTCGATTTGGTCAAGATACTATAGAAGAAAAAAAAATTGTTAGATTAATAATAGATAAATAAATATATATACATATTTTTAAAACAAATCTTACCATATCATCCTTGAAGCTAGTAGATCTTGGTATTACAGTAATATTGTCATTATTTCTCGAATTATTAATGCCTCCAAATTTTGATTTTACTTCATTTACATAACCTTGCTTTGGTTTCGGTAAATCATGCGTTGAGCGTGTTGACTAAAAAAAAAAGGGTTATTCTTTTTTGTTTAATTATGATAAGGCTTAAAAGATATCCTTACCGATATTCTTTCGTTTGCATTCAATGATGATAATAAACGATCACGTATATCTGCAACTGAAAGTCTATTAGGTAAAGGATATTCTGTGTATGCTCGCCTAGGATTAATGTTATATTGCCTTTGTTGTTTTGTCGAATGAGTTGGTGGATATGTCACATAAGATTCATCTCGCATGCCTTTATTCTCAGGTTCCCTACATACTGCAACATGTTTTTCTACATCATTTCGAAGTGAATCTGAATGTCGATGAAGAATCGTCTCTTTATTATTATTTGTTGTCTGATCATGACCACAATTAGACTTTAGCTGACAGTTTTGTGGTATTGGCCTTATAGGAAGATCGATAGGAAAAGAATTTACAAGTCTTTCTGTTTCAAAACTTGATAAACTTGATGTAGGCCGAATTTCTTTTTCATTCACTATTCTTTTATCATCAATATCATGAGATTCATCATTATTATTAACTCCATTTTCAGGATTATTTTCAATAAATGATAAACGAAACGTATTTTTTACTGGAAAACTATTTATTTCGTCTTCATTCTTTAATTGATCTTTTTTTGATGACCATCTATCATTTTTAGTAATATCTCGTGATCTATCATAAATTGGTGGTGGTGTTAATGAAACTATATTATTTTCTTCAAGTTTTGTAGAACTTTCTTTTTCATCATTATGAATGGAACTTCCTTGATTATCAATCATCATTATTGTTTTAATTTGCTTCGTTTCCTTATCCTCCATCAGATCCGTCATTTCTGTTATTTTTTTGCCGCCATCGTCTCTAAAAAATGGATTATCACCATCGTGAATACCTATTGATAAACTAGAAAGTAAATTTGGTGTCAATGGCTTATTTTTTGTTGAAGATGGCTTTTCTTTTGAATTGGGGACATTTGTAGATGAAATTGGAGGATTAATTACGGTAGTTGCAGTAATAATCGGAGGCACAGAAGGAATGGTCGATCTATTTTTTGTGTTTTTACTAACATTAGTTACAACAGTAGTAGTGGTGGTTTCTACAGATATTGAAAAATCATGATCATCTGAAGGTTTTTCTGAAATTAACGTAATTGGAATTTGAGGTGATAAATTTTCTTCTATCTTTTCACATTCTTCTGTTAATGGTTCAGTTTCTTGTAATTTATTATTCATAACAGCTTTTTGCAATTCTGAAATTGAAGCTATAGACTGTGATATTTTATTTGGAGATTTTCGTGGTTGTTTTTCAGAAGATACTAATTCATCATTACTAATATCACTTTCAGTCATAGTTTGCATTTCTAAAAAGCTATCAAGATTTAACTGTGAAGGAATACATGCGTCTTGTCCAGCAAAGGATGCCCATTCTTTTACTTTTGTAATACTTGGTCCGCATTTCTTTAATGAATCATTAAATGAAGCGAATTGACCTTCAATAAATCTACAAACGACTTGTGATATTACAGAATGAGTATGTTTTTCTCTTTTCATTACTTCTTCAGCGTATTCTGTTCGTGCACGTGCAATATCTGAACCAATGGAAGTCAATGAAGCAATATATTTCTTTTTGATATGTCAAAACAGGAAGACTATATTTAGAAATCAGAAAATTTTTGGACCTAAAACATATTGAATAGACTTACATCGTGAGATTCTAAAGCGTATTTATTTTCTTTTTTACTCTTCTTTTCATGATCTTTACTAATTTTCTTTATTTGCTTGTCTAAATCTCCGACATAATCGTTATGAGCTTTTTCATCTTTCTACAATAAATGAAATTGGCATTGTTATTATTATTTCATTGTTAGCATTTGTTATAAAATGAAATTTACTTACTTCAACTTTTTTAGAATACCTATCCCAGAATTTTTGTAATGTTTCAAACTCTTTTTGTAAAGCCTTGTTCTAATTGAATGTATATATATCAGATATATATAAACTTATTAATTTCTCTTTTATAGAATATAATAAAACATTATTTTAACAAAAAAAATACGACTTACCAATTTAGCTTGAATTTCCGCGTGATGTTCATAAAATTGCGATGTAAACTGAATGCATTGAACTTTTAAAAAAAAAGGAAAAAAGTGTACATATATATATCGATTTAATATTAATATATCAAATTATAAAATTGTTATTTATGAAAAAACATACCATAAGATTTATCAATTCCCTTACAATTACTATAATCTTTCAAACATTTACTAAAATTTTTAGAGATTTTACTTAATTTATTTACATAATCTCTATATTCATCAGCAGCCAAAACGAGTTTTTCTAAATTTTCAATTGATATACGTATATCATCTGTTGTTGGATTATTATCATCACGTATTTCTTGTGATAGAAAATATGATGATGTATTATTATATAAATTTTGTGGTGATAATGGTGGAGACTTTTGTGTAGAACTGAAGAATGAAAATCTCTTTTTAATTTGAGGTTTTGCCATTATCAATTACTTATTATCTTTCACTGATTCAATTCGGATTTGATAATTCAGCTAATTAATTATTATCCTTAGATATGGTCAATGGATACTTATAAAAATTAAAGACGCGAATTGAATAGTGAAATTATAACGAGAATTTATCACATATATACTATTATCAATTATCGAAGAAAATAATTCATTATTTAATGAAAAAATCATATATATAAATAATAAAAAAAAATCTAAAGATACATGTATTTAATTTTTAACGGAGAATGAAAATAAAAAATATTTATATTATTAAAAAATTAAACCGCGTGCTATTTTACCCCTAATTCAAAAAAAAAATTAAGGCACATTTTACTATTTTAAGTAAAGAGTAACAAAAAAATTTTCGGTCACATGTTTGACATGCATTTAATATATCCGAATTAGAAATATTGACATAAGATTTTGAAACTTTTTTATTTATTTTTTACGCAAATATATCGTTTTTGATTAAGGAGGTGATGCTTTTTGATTATAGAAGTTAGTTGTACAAACTGTTGTATCGTTTTTGATTATTGAAAAAATAAATGTATCATTTTTGATTATTGAAAAAAAATTCTGTCGTTTTTGAT